GCAGGGCTGTGTCTGGGTCTTGGGGGGGGGGGTCATGCCCCCCAGCCCGGCCCCCCCCCGGGGAGCTTTCCCTTGCATGGGGCTGAGCCCGCAGCACCAGCCCGACCCTGATCAGGTGTTGGTGGCCAGGCTGGGGGCCAAGCACCTGTTGCCCACATTCGCCTGCAGTCCTGTGCCACCAAGGGGTGCCCGGAGCTACCACCCCTAGGACAGAACCGCCCTTGCCCCCAGACCCCAACAGCCAGGAGCGATGGGGTGCAGGAGAGCCCCAAATTGGAAGCAAAATAAAATACCCCTGGGTGCTGGCTCCAGCATCACAAGGCTGGCCTGGGATGGGGCAGGCAGCACCCCCGGGTGTTGGTGGCACTTGTGGGTGCTCAGCACCCCCTGGACCCGCACAGCCCCTCCGGGACCACGAGCAACAGTAGGTGGGGGTGAAGAGCAAAACCCCCTTTCCCTCCCTCTCCTGTCCCAAGCCACACATACACATCCAAACATGTATGCACATGTATGTAAATATGCACATGCATGGAAAAATGTACACTCATGCAAACATAGCCACGTGTGCAAATTTGCGCCCATGTGCACACCCACCCCGAGGGGTTCAGCTGCCTTACCGTGCTCTTCCTGGCCACCATCTTATCCAATTTCTTGGCAATCCGGACCAGCTCCTCAGCAGGCCCCATGCCGGCGGCTTGCCACTTGCCAGGCTTCAGCAGCCGGTGGAGCAAAAACAAGGCAACAGCAGGCAGAGCTCGGCACTGCCAGCATGGGGGTTCGGGCAGGAGTAGGAGGGCAGCCAGGTGCAAAGCGGCGGCCGGGGTAGAAAGGAGCAGAGAGGAGAGGGAAAAAAAGGGGAAAAGAAAGGGAAGGGAGAGAAAGCAGAAAGGAGGTGGGGCTGTCCTGGCCAGTTATAAACTGCTGCCAGACAGGCAAAATAGCACGGGGGAGGGCTAAATATAGCTGAGCGCTGGGCAGGGCCACGACTGCAGGAGCTGGGGGGAGGCGCGTGGCGGGGTGCACCGGGACGCACGCCCATCCCCGGCAGAGGGGAGCCCAGGGGTGCCAGGGTGCCGACGGGCTGGCTGGAGGAGCTGCATGCCACGGGGCTGGAGCCTAGTGTTGGCAGGGAGAGGGCCCAGAACATGGCTTTGCCACTGGGATGGCTCAGTGAGGGATTCCCCAACAGGCGCGGGTGCAATGCTGCGCAGTGCAAGCTCTGCAGGCACAAGGGTTGCCCTTTCCAAACTCCATGTCCTGCAGCAGTGAGTTCCCTGGGGGAGCAAGCTGTGATGACAAATGATACCTCCACACCTCTTGCGGCCTTTTAAGTCCAGCAGGTGCTAAGGCTGCACCAGCATTTGCTCTACTGATTCCCCCAGGAGCATGGCATGCCAGCCCATGGTAGGTGCCAGGAGCCACCCCAAGTACCAGTAGGACAGGCAGCAGCAGGTGGCACCACAGTGGGGATGCTGTCCCGAGGCTCAAGTGGTACAGGCAGTTGGGATGGGTGGGTGACAGCAAGCATGTCACCCTTGCTTGTCCCTGCTCTACCACTCAAAAGGGGTGGCCGTAGGGTGAGCACCCTGCTCTGTGCTGTGCTGGATCCATCCTGGCACACTGGGAGGATGGCCATGCCCCAGCCCAGCCCCACATGGCACAGGATGGGTGAATGCAACACCAGCAAGCACAGGAAAGACAGGGCTCAATGACAGCCTGGCTGCCTAAAACCTAACCTGATGTCCCCCCAAAACAGTGCTCCCCCTGATGTGACACACCCAAAGCCCAGGGTCACATCCCCGATGGACACCAGCAGGTCACAGAGACCCTGGTGCCTGGGAGCCTCTAGGACACGTCACCAGCATCACCTCCCCACCACACACCCCCAGGTGCTTACAAAACCAATAGCTTTATTAGAAACCAGAGAGGGAAAACATTAAAAAACAGATCATTTTTTGAGATGAAACATTTGACGCACTAACAAGAAGGGGGAGAGGGCAAATTAGGTAAGCATGGAGGCCAGTGGCTCCTGAGAGATACCGGCATGGGGGGACATTGGTCCTAGAAGAAGCTGCAAAATTCCCTCAGAAAGAGCCCCAGGGCTGGGGAAGCGATCCAGCACCTGCCCCAGATGAGGGACAGGGGCTCTGCAGGGCCACCTGAACACCCCCGAAATCAGGGAACGGCATTTCACTACCAGTTTTAGGGAAGCTTTGAAGCATCCCCAAGCCCCACCAGCCCAGGCAGCTGCGAGAGCCTGGGGCAGGGGGCCAGGACAGAGCCAGAGACCCTCCAGCCCTCCCCAGACAAGGTCACTAAAAGCCCCTTCCTCTTCCCTGCCCAGCCCATATGCTTCACAGTTGGGGTAGAGGAGAAAGTAGGTGGTACAGCCGCCATCCATGGACAGTCTTCCCAATGGAGGGGTCTCTGAGCCCCCTTGGAGGGCAGTGTCCAGCCAGGCTGCATGGTCCCATGCCAGGGTCCCAGGCACCTGACCCTCATGGCCCAGCTCTACCGAACCCCCTCAGGCGCAGCCCTAGCCCTTGCTGGCCAGTGGGGAGCTGCCTTGGGTCCTGGCCGAAGGGACAGGGACAAAAGGGCCACTGCCACCCAGTCAGTCTTGCAAGAGGTGGACAAAGCTGGCTGGGAAGACACCAGTGCGGGAGCCATCGCCCTCGATGAAGCCGACCTGGGGGTGCAGAGAAGAGGGTGTGAGGGGGGTGGGAGTCCCATCTCAGGCAGGGGAGAAGCTTTAGGGCTAACATGCCAATTCCCAGAGGGACTGAGAGAGGCAAAGCCATGGTGACACGTCAGTAGAAGCCTCCCCAGCCCTCCGTGCACAGATGGGGCAGGGAGCACCCGCCCCTGCCTCCCATGAACACCCAGTCTCCTCCAGAAGAGTACTGGGAGGGAAGGGACCATCTGTCCATGCCATGGTGACACTCACCCAGCTCTGCTCGTCCTCCTCCCGTGTCACCACGATCACCTCTCCCTTGGAGAAGGTCAGCTCCCGTGCTTTGTCCCCCTTGCAGTCAGCCACCGCCTTCACCCGTTTCTGCCTCCCCTTGGCCTGCAAAGGGGTAGGCGAGGGTGTGACAGACCACCCCCAAGGCCACCCCCAAGGTGGGTGCAGGGATGTCACACCCCTGATCCCTCCATCTGCCACACCAAGATAAGGGGAGTTGGGATGCTTGGGGATGCAGACAGTGACCCTCCCCATCACAGCCCCTCTGAGAGCCTCCTGAGTCATGGCACCTACCGGAGCAAATCTCCTCGGCATGGGCACAGGGGGCACCTTGCTTAGCGCAGGGTCCTCGGGGCCACCAGGGCTCTGGGGGGACACGGCCGACCCCGCTTTGCCCACCACGCCGCTGATGCGCCGGTATGAGCGGGTGCTCTCTGAGCTGCCGGGGACAGCAGGGACAGCATCATCCCCTCTCTGCTGGTGCCTTCCTCCGCTGTCCCCCTTCCCGTGAGGTCTCAGCAGGGTCAGGGCTCCCCCAGTGGGAGCCAAGGGACCAGTGTCCCACCCACAGCCCCCTGGATGCTGATGGAGAAGGTCCCCAGCACCCATCCTCCCTCAAACGACCCCATCCCACCACAATTTCCAAAAAGAGAGAAAAAAATATATTTGATATAACTTGCAGGGGATCTTGGTGTCACCCCCAAATAATCTGTCACCTTCTCCAGGGGCAACCCAGCATCCCCACAGCTGTCCTTGTCCCCTCCTGTGTCCCAGGGCCAGCACCAACTCCCTTGGGGACTCCAGGTCAGGGCGGGGACCCCTTTGCTCCATGCCCCCCACTGGACAATTTGGGGTTCCCCATGCCCGGGGCAGGGGGGCACTGGCAGGGGTTGAAGCTGCCCTGCCAGCACCATGCAATGACTCCCCCACACCCAGTGCAGCCCAGGCTGGGATGGGGGGGTGTCCCTACCTGAACTTGACAGGGGGGATGTCAGGGGCCGTGCTGCCTGGTGGGGGTTGCCCGGGCAGGGGGCTCAGCTCCGGACCCCACCGGGTGCCACTGCTTTCCATTTCCAAGCGGGTCTCCCAGTACGCTGCCCGCCGGCTCTCGGTGGGGCTGCAGGTGCCAGGGGCCAGGGGGCCAGCAGTGCCATCCAAGGCGCCGGTGCTGCCGGTGGAGGGGAGGCTGCGTGGTGCCAGAGCCTCCACCGGCCCGGGGAAGTGCGGCTCTGACGCCTGCCGGGGAAGCTCGGGGCGCTCTGGCGGGGGGACACATGATGAAGACAGTAAACCTGATGTCTGGGTGAAGGGACAGCCTCATTCCCCCCCCCCAACTCACCGGTGGGGCTGTGGCCAGGTTTGGGGCGGGAGCCGCCACGCGTGGGGTTTTTGAGGGGCAGCGGTGGGGGGATCTCCTCGCTATGGGCCCGGCGAGGCATGGGGCGCGAGGGCACCAGGATGCTCTCATAGGTCTTGTTGGTGATGTCCATCCCCATGCAGCTCCAGCGGGTCTGGGGGCAGGCAGGTGGGGGGCTGGTGGCCAGTGGCAATGTCCCCTTGAAGGAGCGCTGGAGGGGGCTGACCTGAGGACAGACACCCGGCTCCAGGGCTGCCCTGCTGCCGCCAGCCCCCCCACAGGGTCTGCACCCCTCCCCCACCATCCCACTGGGGCCATGGGGTGTCTCCCCATACTGTCCAGCAGCTACCTTCTCCTCCAGCTCATCCTCACTGTCATAGGGGAACTCCTGGGGGGGCTCCCAGTCATAGTCGACGTGGATCTGCAGGGAGAGCTTCCCTGCCTGCACCTGTTCCAACTGCCAGATGGGGCAGGTCAGAGAGGTCTCAGCATGGCAGGAACAGGTCCCAGGAGCCCCCCGCCTCCATGCCAGCCCTTCCCCAGTGCTTTGGTTCCCCCTCCCCAGCCCGAGCATCTCCCCCATCCCACCTACCAGCTCTTCACATTCAACGTGCTTGAGCCTCCTAGCCACGTCCAAAGCCGTCTCACCCGCTGCGTTCACTGCCCGAGGGACAAAAGGGGACAGATCCAGGTTACAGCCTCACTGCTCTGCTCCCACTGGAGAGCCCCAAGCAGAGGGCTCCCCCAAAACCCCCCTTCCTGGCCCCGTACCTGTGGTGAAGGCAGCTTTGCCCTTCAGGAGCAGCTTAAGGCAGTTGGGCTGGTTGTAGAGTGCACTGTAGTGCAAAGCCGTGTTCCCATCCTGTGTCACCCGGTCCAGCGTCCCCCTGTGCAAAACCACCAGCAAGAAATTCAAGGCTCAAGAGCACACAAGCATCAGTGCCCCGTGCTTGTGCACGGTCCTTCCACAGGGGAGTAGGCAGGGGAGCAGGCAGGGGACACTGCGGGCAGCTGGGGACACACCCATTCTGGATGATGAAGTCCACCAGAGGAAGGGACGATCTGTCCGCGTGGCGCACGGCCATGTGCAGCGCCAGCTCACCCAGGTCCTGCCACAAGATGGAGGGGAGAGGAGAGCTAAACCTGAGGATGCTCATCTCCCATGAGATGGAGAGGAGAGCTGGACCTGACGATGCTCATCTTCCTGAGGGCACATCTCCACCCAAAGGCCGGGAAAACCCTGAGCATAGGCACCCAGAGAGGGAAAAACCATTTACACTGCCAGGCAGAGGGAATGGAGCAGCTGCGGCGGCACAGGGCTCACCTGGCCCTCGGGGCTGGACAGGGGCTTGGCTAGATCGTGTCCCTCAGCAAAGGCCTGCAGCAGGGCCAGGAGGTCGCGGGCACGAATGGCTTCCCAGAGGCGGTGGGGGTCGTTGCGGCCACTTTTCTGCACATAGCGTCGCTCCATGTACTTGGCCACGATGTACTCCTTGCGAGCAGCCCTGCAGGAAGGGTAGCATGGCATCGGCTTGGACGGGCGCAGAGCCCAGACCCACCCCCCAGTCCCCACCACAGCCAGAGGCACCCTGGGCTCCTGCCTCCTCCTGAAGCCTCAGGATCAGTGGGAAACCTCGAAAAAAGGTGCAGATCCCCACCAAAATCCAGGCAATGACACCAGGATCCTCCCTTCTCCCATCCTCAGGCTGTCTCAGAGTTGATGGGCAGCAGCACGGGGACAAGGACAGACCATGCATGGTGCACTTCTCCTCCTCCTCCTCTCAGCCCACCCCAAGTCCCCTGGCCAGCGGCCGACTCACATATCACTGCCAGCCGAGGGCTTGGGGCAGTCCTGCGTGAGCAGTGTGGCCTCCATGATCTCGTTAAAGCGGGTGTTTCCGATACTGACGGCCAGCTGTGGTGAGAGAGGGACAGGGGGAGATGAGCCCTCCTGGCCACGCTCACCCAGCTCCAGCCAGATCCCCATCCCCATCCCGGAGGCAGAGGGAAGGAATCCACTAGACCCACCCAGGACCTCCCCAGAGCAGCATTTCCCCTGAAGATGATGGTCTTTCATGGCAGGGGAAGTCTGTTTTAAAAGGGAGCAAATCCTGGGGGGCTGCCTGCGTCCCTCTCCTTGGCAAGCGGCTTTGCAGAGCCCCCCCCCCCACTTGCCCAGACCATCGTGCTAGGGGCTGCAAACTGCCACCGGGGAAACTGAGGCAAGCTTGCGAGCACTGGAGCAAACTAGGCACAGATGGGATGGAGGAGGAGGCATGAACTCTATGTCCCAGGAGGTTTGGGAACCGCAGAGGGTGATTCCTGCGGGCTGTGAGATCTCCAGACTCAGGGAGCAGCTTACCAGCAACTCGGAGGTGCTGAGGACGTCCAGTGTGAGGGACTGGATGCGGGAGTAATGCACGCCCAGTTCCCGATGGATGCCGGAGCACTCGATGCACGTCAGGATGCCCAGGTTGATGGAGAGCCATGTGGGGTCTGCCGGGGGAACAGCGTGGGGCTCAGCATCACCATCCAGCCCCGTGGGATGCTGCAACCCCACCTCAGTACCCAAGCCACACCCGGGCTGGGGGACACATGCCAAGGCCCGACCTACCCGGTGCCCCGCAGTCACAACACTGCTTGTTTCCCGGCATGTTCTTCACCTCGCTGATGACCAGCTTGGTGAGCTCCTGCATGCTGCCGTCTGCCCCGCTGCCCGCTGCTGCCCCACCACCGTTGAGCTCCCCCTTGAAGGCGTTGCTCAGGGCTTCGTCCTTGCTGTTCTGCAGCACTGAGACCCACCTGGGCAGCGGGGGAGCCCCAGTCAGGAGGAGGAGGAGCAGGATCCAGCACAGCAAGGAATGGGGACGGGCTGTGGCACTTACACAATGCACTCCTGCTCGTCCTCCGCTTGGAAGTGATAGGTCCTGTTGTCTGCAGGGATGGGGAGAGAGGGGAGAAGGTAAGTGGGGGGATTCAGGGATCCCCAAGACCGCAGGAAGAGGCTGAAACTACTCCAAAGGGGCTGCTTTAAAATAAAATAAAATCACTGCATGTCACTCATCCAACACCCAAATGCTGTTGCAACCTGTTTTTGTCTTGAGCTTGCTAGATCTCCTTGGAGAGGTTGGTCCTTCCTCCGTAAAGGCAGCCACGGAGACGCCCAGAGCCAGATTAAAAGGGCAAAGGGTGCCTAGGTGCTGTGACAGGGCTGGTGGAGGGCCAGCTGGCCACTGGGAAAACCCACTTGGGATGTTCTCCTCCAAAAAGGGAATTCCCATCCACAGCTCGGCCACCTCTGGGTCAAACACGCCCACCCCAGCCACGGCATCCCACTCTGGGCACTCACGCGTCACCAGGTCGAAGCATTTCTTCTCCTCGGTGTGGGGTCGCACTTGGCAGGTGAGGAGGTTCAGCTTGACGGGGGGACGGTTTATCTGCAGGGAGAGTGGGATGCACATCACCAAGCGTGTACCTCCGACAGCAACTCTGGTGGGACAACCACCATCCCCAGATGGTTCCTCTTGGGATAACCAGGCAAGTCGGACCCTCTCTGACCCAGGAGAACAGGGCTCGGAAACGTCCCTGAGCCGCCATCTTCTGTCCCTGCTGCAGTTCTCGGCCTCCACCACCGGGGGGCAGCACGTCGCTTCCAAACCACCCTGGCCCCTTTGGCCTTGTCTGGAATCTCAACACCCATCTCACTGCCCCAGCCAAACCCACCATCCCCTCCCATTGACACCTATGAAACAATGGGGGACCCCATTTAGTACATCCAGTCCCAGCTCATACTAAATTTTAAGCCAGGCAAATTTGTGACCAGTTTGGGCAAAACTAAACCTGAAATCCAACGGACACCAGCACTCAAAGGGTGACCTCAAGGGTCAGGGCTGCAGTCCCCTGCTGCTCCTCACCATACTGTGGGAGATGGTCAGACAGCCATACTTCACACCACACTTCCTCTTCTGCCAGACTTTGCGGATCCTGAGGAGGAGGAAGAGGAGAAGTGAGGACGCGTTGCACAGCACTGGTCACCCACATCCATCCGCCTCCCAAACCACCCACGGCAGCCCTTGGCAGAGGCCCAATGGCTTTCTGGATGTAGGGCTGTGCTTCCTGTAGCTCGCGGAGCACAAAATGTGCTGCTGAGCAGGCTGGCCACAGGTCATGCTGGCCAACAGCATCACAGTTCAGCAAAGCACATAACCGCTCTCTCAAAACGTGGGGCCCATTACCCAGAGGCCCACTGAGAAGGTGAAGACCTCCTCTTTGGTGCTCTGAGGATTTTATTTTTCACCCTAGATGATCCCACCAGGATCCTTTTTCCCTCCATGCCCAAGAAACAAGGAATTTATTCCCCTCCCATCAGCCGCACAGCACACAGCTCTTCAGGGTGAACTTGGCACTGGGCGGCTGTTCCTGGAGACCCGCATCCAAGGACACTACACCCACACAGAACCAGCCACTGTGCCCAGCCAGCTGCCCAGGAGAGCATCATGGAAGAAGCATCCCGGGCATCAGAGCCTGCTGGGGGCCTTCACATAAGAAATGGGGCGATGGCACCAAACTATTGCAGAGGAGGGTCTCCTGCACCACCTCCAAACCTCCTCCTTCCCCAGCTGCAGTTGGAGACCCACCAACCCCTGACCACCAGCTCTCAGATCTTCTCCAGCCTGCAGAAAAATCCCATTCTCCAAGCACTGATGGATGCTTAAGACCAGATGGGACCACTTGCACCCGAAGACCTGTCTAACAGCAACCAAAAACCTCACCCAAACAGTTCCACCTCAGGATGTCCCAGCTCTGGGACCTTCCATGAGCCTGGTGCTCTTCCAGCAACACTGGGATGGAGCCGGGAGCTTTCTGAGCAAATAACACTCATCCTCACCCATCGCTCTTCTTGTACAGAAATCCCGACTTCTCCGTCCCATACTGCTTGTTCCCTTGGTGCTGGTGGATGCTGTAGCCGCTGCCAGAGTTCTTCCTGCTCAGGTTTTCCTGAGCTCACCAGGTGAAAAAAAAAAGCATTTAAAAAGCAAAGTGAGAGGTGCAGAGGTGGCTGCTGCCGCCAAGTAACCTTGTCCTTATCCTTATCAGGATGCCAGAGACCCCTGTCCCCTCTGAGCATCTACCAGGTCTCCTGCTCTGCTCCCACAGATGTCCCCTTTGATCCCCAACTCCCCTTTCCCTGCTGCTCCTCATCTCCAAGCTAACCCTGAGGCACTCACTCCTCCTTAGCACCCAGCACCCTCCTGACCCTCCTTCCCAGCTCTCCCCTGCCCATCCTGGAGTCTCACCTCCTTGCTCTCCAGCTGCAGGATGCTGCGGAGGGAATCGCGCGTCTGTGTGAGCTGCTTCACCTCCTCCTCTTGCGCTTGGTGGAGCTGGAAAGGGAGGCAGCTGCCCTCACTGCTGTGCTGAATGCAGGTGTTCTCAGGGGCTGGCATGGGGAGGGTGGCATCTCGGGGGACATGTCTGAGCAACACTGGATGGCAGGCTGGGTGACTTACCGCATGGAGGGACACAGCAAGCTTCTCAATGAAGGGGTAGAGGTTCTGGGCAGCCTTCCAGCCGTCTTGGAAGAAACTGGGCATTTATTTAATGTGATTAAGATGCAGATGGGGAGGATGGAGGAAAAAAAAAAAAAAAAGGTTTTTTTAGAGAAAACATGGCAGGAGACCATAGCAACCCCCCTAGGAAGCTGCTCTTGCTTTGTGGTTCCCCTGCTACCGGGACCTGGAGAGATTCCACCACAGGCCAAGCCCAGCCCATGGGGTCTGGATACCCCAAGCGTTCGGGGTGTTTCGGATGAAGGATTGGCCTCTTGTTCGATGCAAGCTCATCTCATTGGGGACCAGCCCTGCTGGAAGCCAAATCCTGGGGGTCTCTGGGTCACAGCCCCAGTCGAGGTCATGTTGTTGGCCAATGCGACTGCCCCCTCCCTGCCTCAGTTTTCCCACTCAAGAACTGAAGGAGATGACACAACACCCACACGCTGCTACTCCAGCCTCATGGAGCAACAGGAAAGGCGAAGGGACGTTAATCCTTGCTCCAAACACTCTTGTTACAAACCCCACGGCTAACAGTGGAGCCGCTCGGCTGAACTCATCCCTGGAAATCTATCCAGAAACCAAATCATCGGATATATGCTGAGCCAACCCCCTTCCCCCAGCCCCCACGGACACATTTACAGCTCCTCAAGCCAATAAAGCACGTTTCAACTCCCTGGATGCAACCGGAGAGCAATGGGCTCTGCCCAACACTTTCACCAACAGCTTTATGGAGCTGGGACAGGAGAAGGTGCCCCCAGACCCTTGTGGGACCTCCCGGGGTGACAACAAACCCTGGAGATGAGCCCCCCCGACCTGGGCAGGACCTACTTGTGCTGAGCGTGGAAAAACTTGATGAGGCTCTGCAGGAAATCTGGTCCCTGCTTCATCTGAGACTCACTGGCTTTCAGCAGGTACTGGAGGAGAAGACACCTAGTTAGGTGACGGAGATGAGGACTGGCGGAAAATATCCTGGAGGAAAGAGCAAGAGCCTGCCCAGCCCTCACCTCCCTTCCCTGTGCCGGGAGTAGGGTTAAAACACTGGCTGGGTTTCAAGAAGTTGCGTCATGACGCTGGATTTGAAAACAGCTCGCTGGGGACCACCCTCAGAAAACCTGGCTCTGGAAGTCCTCCAAGCCCTGAAAAGTTCAAGGACTGAGGCAGGCCCCCGGGGTTTCCAGCCGAGCATGCTTCTCCCACTGCTCATTATTTCTGGAGTTAATAAATAACCAAAACCCAAGGCAGCTTGTGAAGGAAAAAAAAAAAATAGCCCAAATGTTTTTTAAGATATGACCCCTTTACTCCCAAAAAATCAGATTTCAAGCAGTGACTGCTTGCGGCACATCAGCCCTGGAGGTCTGCAGTCCTCGCAGAGGTGTCCCACGGGACAGAGAATTTCAGCTTGATACATCAAACCCTCCCATCAGCTGCAGGCAGAAAAGACCTGGAGCCTTGAGCACCCTGAGCAAAATAAGGGGGGAGGAAGATATTTCCCCCTGCAAGCTCCTCTCCAGGCTGGCGCAGCTGCTGGAGGATGGTTTCAGGCAGGAGATGAGGGGAGAGGAAGGCAGCCCTGAGCTCTGGGGGGGCTTTCCGTGGTGGGGAAGCACCATGGCGGGATAGAGCCCCCAAGATGAAGCCTCCCAGTGGTCCAGGCACTCTGGGCACCCCTACCCAGCGAGAAGTCACCTGGACTGGTGGAGGGCATTGTTAAATTGCTCTGTGCAAGCTGGAGCTGCAAAGCCAATGTGGCATCCAACACGGAGCCCTGGGGCGCCCAGCACTGACTGCACCCCCTGAACAAAGTCACGGCTGGAAAATATCACGTGTGCCCGGTTCCCACGAGACTTCCCTGCCCTGCCACCCATGCCCCTGGGTGACAGTGGCAGCGGAGCATCCCAGCCAGCGCTGGCTGAGACCCACGAGCAAAGGGATACTCCCAGCACTGCCTGGGTCCAGGTCCAGCTGCATCCATCCGCCCCATGGCCCCTTGGGGTGTGAGATGGCCCACAATGGGGAGATGTAACCACCCCACACATCACCCCTGGGGTGAAATCAGATCCTGCTCCCACCCCAGGAAGTAGCAAATACCATCCACCTATAAACCTACAGGCAACACACACCCCAGCCCTAGCCAGTCCCCTAGAAGAGCTGTCGCCCCCATTTCCAGGCAGGCTCCCCGGGAAAGCAGCAGCGCTCATGCATGCTGGCACACACACGCACGTGCGCTCACTCGCACACAGCCACTCTTTGCAGGGTTGCCGGCTGCGGCCCCTCCCCAGCCGCGCTGCAGCTCCCGCATTTCCATGTGCTGTTAGTTATTTCACAGTAGTGCTATTCAAGGGAGTGACTCATCTGGCCAGGTCCCAGCTCCCCGGCCCCATGCCCAGCCCTGGCCCTGCTGCGGTGGGTGCAGCCTCCTCCCCACAGCCCCTGCCCTTTGCTGAGGGGGAGCATGGGGCTGTATGGGGCTCCACTGCTGCTGCCTGGCCCTCAGGGACATGGGAGACCCCTGGGGCAACCCACTGGGGACTTGTCCCTTGCTCTGTGTCACTCTCAAGAGGTTTGTGGGGCTACTGGGATGTCTGGAGCTAGGACACCCGGGTCCCCTCCTCACTGGGGGGTCTGACATTGCATCTCCATCCTTCACCTCTTCCCATCTCACCTCCTGAGCACAGATCCCTGGGACAGTCGTGGATCTGGGGCTGCTCATGAGCCCCCCTAACCAAAACAAAGGGCAATTTTGAGAATAGGGCAGAACCGCAAAGCCAACCTTGGGGATGTTATCCAAAAAACTCACTTTTTGCCCCAAATGCCAGCCCTTAGCTTTGCAGAGGAGGGGTAGGAGCGGGGCTGGGAGGATGTGGGTGCAACCCCCGGGTGCCTCACTGCAGGGTAACCCGCAGGTGCCATTCGAAGCCACATCCCGCAGGAGCCCCATGTTGCGGATGGGGGTGTCCCTGAGCCAGGACCATGCAAGGACACGACCAGATGGGGACAGCTGAGGGTCCCACGCTGCACCAACATGGGGCTGCTTTGGTGGTGGGGACGGGGACAGGCTCCGACATCCCCACGCAACTCTGAGCGGAGCAGTCCCCTGCATCCCTCTGGGGCCGAATGGACCCATCTCCGCCCCAGCACAGCCCTTACCTCGCACATGTGGAGCTGGAAGAGCCGCCGCTCCTTCTGCATGTCCTCAGCCATCTCCGCTGTGGACAGCTCGGCCTGGGTGACCCCTGCCAAGCGGGCTCGCTCCTTTTCCTTCTCCATCTTCCCCCTGCGGGATGGGATGGCAGGTTGGGGACAGCCCCGCTCTGAGGGTGGGGACTGGATCTGGAGAAACATCTCCAGCCCCTCTCTAGCTGGGAAAGGCTGAACCAGAGCCCACTCAATGGCAAACCAGCACCGATCAGTGCCCGGCTGCAGCCCTGGGACAAAACACCTTTGTGCAGAGCAGGATTAGGTGGATTTTGCTGGAGGCAGCGGGTTCCTTACACTTTGGTCTCGTAATCCTTCCAAGCCTTTTCGATCTGCCTCTTGGAGTCCTGCGGCAAAAGGAGAGAGGGGTTGGCAGCTGTCAGGGAAGGTGAAAGACCTGGTGGCACCAAAGCAGCATCCTGCAGCTGAGGGCTTTGCTTTGCATCGCTGCACCCTGCTCTGTCCTGCTCCTCAGGGACCAGGGACATCTCCACTCAGTCTTCACCCCTTGTTCCCGTCCCTTCCAGCCCTTGCTGCTGCCTTCCAGCCTTGGGCATTTGCTCCTTCCTTCTCCTGGCCATGGGCACAAGCTGAGCCCCTAATGGGGGTCTTGCTGCAGTATGTCCCCAAATGGGTGACCTGCAGCTTCAGAGCCTCAGGGACACTGCTGGAGGGGACTCACCAGGCGGCCGTCCTTCAGCTGCCCCTTCAGCAGGCTGTCCAGTGGGAAGGAGACGATGTTATTCAGGTTTTGCACCTGCAAGGGGTAGAGATGGGGTTACCCCACGGGGGTCCCCACCTCAGGGCAGGTTGAGGAGCTGGAGCCCCAGGTCCTCCCCAGCACTGGGGGTCCCTGCCCCTGGCTCCATCGCTGCCCCATGAAGAGTTAAGGAGGCTGAAAGCAGGGCCGGATCCAGGCACAGGGCAGGCCGGGGCTTGTTGGAGCTGGCTACAAGATGTCTGACGTGGGGCCCTTCCCCCAAACCACATCAGCGCCACGGCTGCCAAAACCAAAGCTGTTCCCCACATTGCCACCCTGTCCCCCCACAGCACCCGGCAATGCCACCAGCCCCTCCATGGCTCCATGATGCAAAGACACACACACACACACACCCCCGATGTCAAAGGTGCTTCTCAAAATGTCCCCATTTCCTGGGGTCTGGGGACAGCAACGCAGCCACCACTGTTCCCACCAGCACTGTGCAGGGGTCCGTGGTGGGGATGCAGGAGCCTGCTCCAGTCCCGGCATCCCTCCGTGCACCCTGTGGGGCAGCACCCCATTTTAGTGCTGTCAGAGCAGCTCCAGCACCCACACAGGACCTCCCCACTGCACCTAGATTTCTTTTAAAGGCTCCCAAGGGTTTTGGTCCCCGGCAGCACCCAGGGAGAAACCCAGCCCCGTGGCATGGGACCAGGCTCGAATGAGGGGGGGTGGGAGCACTCCCCTTCCGACAGCTCCAGGGTGACAGGACATCCCCGCTTCCAACAGCTCCGGGGGGACTCTGGGAGGGAAATCCTGGCTTTTCGTATCCAGTCGGGAGTCCTAGCATGTAACCCTGCTCCGGGGAGAGCAGGGGGAACACAACAGTGGCTGTTCTCACGCTGGCGGCACAGTAGAGCCCCCCCTGGAGTGTGGGGGTCCAGCCAGGCTGGGACAGCGGGGAAGGGGAGGAGCGGGGAGGCCCGGACTGGGGTAACTGGGAGAGGAAGATGCCGAAATCTGAGATTCTTGCTGGGGGAAGGGCAGCAGAAATAAATCTCTTCCTTAAGCAGAGCTGGGGCCAAAAACACCCTTTGAGGGCGCTGAAAGGGACTGGAGAGGGGGCCAGCAGCACAGGACCCCCGGGGCTTTGCTGCTGGGCGTGCAAGGACCCAGCTCCCTCCAGGAACCGATTTCTCCACCAAAGCCACTCCCGTGGTGGGGAAGGTGCTGCTGGCTCAGCTTGCAGCCGTCTCAGCCTGCTTGCCTGCCTGCCTGCTTCCCATGCAGCCGCGGCTCCCTAACGCCCTGCTGCGCAGCTCGGCATGGCTTTGATTTACTTCTTGGCAAGCAAGATCAGAGATGCAATTGATGTGAAAAAAAAAAAAAATAGAAAGAAAGGGAAAAAAGAAAATAACAGCCCCAACCATTGCGTCCCAGCATCAGCATCCCTGGTGGAGCTAGGAATGAGCTGTAAATCCAGTAATGGGGGTATTGGATGGTCTGGGAGCACCAGAGGTGTGTCCCTGAGCCTGGCATGGGAGCTGGGGATTGCCAGCTGTGGTGGAGGGCAGCTAAACTCGGAGGAGGGGGGCTGCACCAGGGTTTTTCTCCAAATCCAGACGGATCCTGGAGATTTTCCCCGGCTTGGCAATAGCCAGATGCAGAGAACAGCCTGAGGTTGCACCGGAGATGCCATGAACCCCATGGTTCCCCCCAGGGTGGTTAAAGCCCCCCCTCAATCTTGGCAGCATGCCGGGGGAATGAGGGGCAGCTCACCAGGTTCTTGAAGAGCGCGGTGACCTCGCGGGTGAAGACAGCCAGGTTGAGGAAGCCGGTGGAGAGCTCATGGTTGTTCTGGGAGAGGTGGTTGTTGCCAAAGTTCTCCAGGGCTTCGCTGTACTGCTCCTCGTTCTCCACGTGGGCTGTGCAGGGAGACACTGGTGAGAGATGTGGGGTGGCCCTGCAGCACCCCGCCCCTGGTAGACGGCCACATCATGAGGTCCCACCAGCACCCATCTCCCCATCCCTCCATAGCAGAGCTGGGCTGATCCTGCTGCAGGACAGCAGCAGTGTGCCCTAAACAACCTCCCTAAGGTTCTTAATTTCCCTTTTTACGCCAGTTTTAGGCACCCTATCATGTTGCCAGGCTGGCTGGCTGGCCAGCACCCATGGCCACCTAACTGTCTGGCTGCATCACCCAGAACAGTGGAACAGTCACAGACTCCACTAGCCCGGTGGCCCAGGGATGCCCATCAGCTCTCAAAGCACAACTCACTGAGCCCGGAGATGTGAATGGCTTTCACATATTTCCTGATCCTCTGAAGTACAGCTTGGTCCCCATCCAGGCTCTGCGAAAGCGAAGAAAGAAAACAAACTGAGCTCGTTAGCCCTGCCAAGCATGGCTGCCGCTCCCCCCAGCCTAGCTGGCCCTTGGAAAGGTGGCTGCTCTGCCATGCAGATGTGTGGGGCAGCGGCCAAGCTCCCAGAGCTGGGAGAGGAGCCGGAGGCATCCCAGGGATGCCAGAGCCGCAGCGCCCTGCTGGTCCCCTGCCAGGCCTGCAGTCCCTGTGGCTTTTGCTCCCAGGCAGGGCTTTGGCTGCCCCTGGAAATGCGGGTTTGCAAGAGGGTAGCAGGGGGTGAGAGGCTCAGCCAGCACGCCCAGTGCCCCTTTGGATCTAAGCAGCTTCCAGCAACCATGGAACATGCCTCCCTGGCTCTCACAGGGGCTGTTTCAACCAAGGACAGGATGAAGCATCACGTAGCACAAATACACCAGCCCGTCCCTGCCACCCCAGCACGCATCCCCATGGCTCAGGGCCAGACATGGCAGGAGAGACCTGCGAGGGTGCCCAGCTCCCCACAGGGGTCCATGGCAGAGCCAAAACCAGGACCCACCTCCTGCCAATACCCAACAGGGACCTAATCACATGAATGCCACACATGGGAACATGGCTTTCCACAACCTCCTGGGCTCATGCAGGGTCTCAGCTGTGGCCCCCCGCACCATGGACCACCTGCAACCCCAGCACAATGTATCTCCTCAGTGCCCCACTCCTCCTGCAGCCCCTGCCAGCTGCATCCTGCGCTCGCTTAGAGCGCTTCCCATCCCCACCCTGGTCCCCCCATCCTTGCTCCATCCCTCCCTACCCAGGCAGCCACCATTTGCCCCCACCAAGCATCAGGGCAAACTCAGCCCCAACGCCAACCCAACGCCAACCTGCCCACGGCACTACCCGCAGAGCATCATAGCCAAACACATGCCAGCCCCAGCCATCAGGAAAGGGTTAAGGACGGCTTGGCTGCAGGTACCAGAGGCATGATAACAGCTGGAAATATTTAGAGGGCGTGAACGGCAAGAAGGGCGAGGGATGAAACTGTGAAGAAATTACAGTAAAGAGGCTCGCTCTCTCTCACTTGTGCTATCGCCAAAGGTTTTCAGGCTGATGTCAAGGCCAATTTCCTGACAGCGGGGTCAGCCTGGCTTTGGCGCCACTCTCCAAGGCCCTCCTTGTTGGATGGGATGCTGCAGACAAGCTTTGGCCAGGACGAGCCGCCTGGGAAGGGACCGGGGCCAAGGTGGGAGCCAAAACCCCCACCTGGAGGGGTCTTGCAATGCATCTACAATGGGGAGGATGCTGGGGTGATCCAAAGCCCCCCATGTCCCCTCTCTGCACCAAATCTGGGCACCCCAGGCTCTCCAGAGTCACAGGCCCGGAGCAGAGGCACGCCCTGCCTTGGGGGGGATGCCAGAGCTGGATACCTGGACACCCCAGGCTCACAAACCTGATGTAGCCTTAGGAAGGGGAAACTGAGGCAGCATGAGATGCTCTGGATGCGTCACCATACAAGCAGGGAAAGAAGCTGCTCCGAGTGCCTGGGACAAGGCAGCCCACCCTGGTGCCTGCTCATGGCCACAGGAGGCTGAACGCAGGGACTGGGCATGATCTGGGGATGGTCACAGGGGCTTTTGGGAAGGGGTTCATGAGCTGACCAGTAGGGATGGTGCGGGCAGAGCCGAGCACCAGGGTGGTAAATGCAGAGGAAATCACTGCACAGTGCTGCCCCAGCTGCTGGCATCGCTGGCATCCCCGAGGTAGTGGGCCAGCTGCCAGGGACACAGGCCTTGGCTGCACGGGGACAGCCCTCCAGAGCAGGGGCAGCGATGTCTGGAGCCCCCCCCAGCACCCATCACCCCCGGGCCCAGCTCAGGGATGAGGGCTCCCAGTCAGGGGAAGCTGAGGGCATTGGCACAGCGGGGACAGGAGCATGAGGGATTCCCTGTGGGGATGGAGGAAGGGACAGATCCGCACCTGCACCTCAGACACCCAGGCTCACAGCCTGGGGACCCCAAGCAGCCACCACCACCCCCTGCCTGGTCCCGGCAAGATGCTCAATGGGGGCCATTCTTCTGCCTCCCCACCACCACCAGCTCGTGCCACCCAGCGAAGGAGCTGCCATGGGTGCCAGGGGCCAGGGAGGAGGTGCTGCCAGGCCAGGAGCAGGATGTGGCGCTGCCTCGGGTGCAAAGGGCAGCGCATGGCAAGGACACGGTATTATTTATGGAGTGAGCTGGGAGCCCGCCTGCCAGCTCTGCCACTAAACACACCAGCAGCCTCTGCCATGTCACCCTGCCCTGGCCCAGAGGTGCTCAGTCTCGTGTGACATGCACACAGTACCCAGCCCCAGCCACCAAGGGCTGGATCCGACCTTCCAGCCCAGTCCAGAGACCTTGGGTTCTGCTTCTGCAGCAACCCCAAGAACGCCAAAGTCACACGAGCCCCCCGGGAGGGCAGAGTCCTCTTTAATCCCAGGAGGAAAACTGAGGCATGGAGCAGCTCTGGCCAACACCAGTATACTTCCTCAATGGTGAGCACCAGCCTCTGGCCCTCACCCTGCTCATCTGTCCTGCTCTTGTCCCCCCAGTTTGAGACCAGCTCCCAGATGGGTGCACGTGGCTGTGCCTCGAAGGCGGCATGCCCTGTCTTGGGGACCTGGTGGGACACAGTCACCCCTTCCCACCCAGCAGCCGCTGGAGCAAGACCGGGAACCCTTGCTCCCTCCTGCTCGCTAAGCCATCGGCCGGGATCTGGGGTGATGACAGGGAAGACCAAGGCTCAGTTTGGTCACAGAGAGTCTCTCCCACTCCCCAGCCCTCCCCAAAGCCACCACTGCTTATTTCCCTTGCCTGATGCTATCACCCCATCAGGGCTCAGAGAGCAGCATGGGGCTGGGGCTTGTTTGGTTGGATTTCCCTCTTCCCCTCGTGCTGGAGCACAGGGACACTGAAGGTCTGGCAGTGGCTCGGCCCCCACGAGGGTTCCCTGCAGCCTCCACTGGGATGGGGAGGGGGCTCAGCCCCGTGCTCCCCATGGCATGCACAACGGTGGTCACGACTCCCAGCTCTCATCTGTGCTCGCTGGAGCTTTACTAAGCAAACCTCACAGAGACCCCCACCATTCCTGGGGGATGCCTCTCCCCCCATCCTCGTCCCCCTTAACCACAGCCTCTCCGAGCATCCTGCTGCTTCCTCCTGGCTGGAGCTGCCTCCTCCTTCCTGGCTGAGAGGAAGATCCACGGCAGCGGCCAGCACATGGTGGCAGGGACCGGGATGCTCCATGGTACATCCCCAGGTTTCCAGGCTGGGGACGCCCATCCTACTGGCCCCAGGGGATCCTGGCAACTCTGGTACCTGGGGCCCCACACTCCCCGCCAGCCCGGGCTCTCCTTCAAATCCATTCCTTCGCTAAGAGGAGCTGGCAAAAGCCACAGGACCAGCTGGAAACCACCTTTATTCCACGCAGGAGAAGGGGGACAAAGGCACCCTGCCACCTCCACCCTTCCCACAAACGCTGCCAGGGATTTTGGGGGGAGGCTAAAAATACTCCCCTAGCTTTAATTGCTGAGGGACCCCCCCCCGGGCCACCCCATCACATCAGGGCTGGCTCCAGCATAGGAATTCGATAGCAGCTGGAACCGTGGGGCTGATGCTCTGCCCAGCCCCGGGAGGATGCCCTGGCCCAGGGTGGCATGTGGAGCTGAAGACAAAAACCTTTAAAGAAGGTTTTAAAGGAGTTTTACCCATTTCTGTACAGCTTGGCCCCGAAAAAGCACAGCCGGGGAGCTCGGGGCGAAGGGGAAGACCGCAATAAACAGAAGCCCAAGGAAGGGAGGTGCCCCCCGAGGTGGGCACTAGGTGCTGGACCAGCACCTACGGGTGCCAGGAGCTGCCCCAGCGCGGGGTGCAGGAGTTGTTCCCAGGCGGGGAGCACAGCCCGACGCCCCCCCAGCCCCGCTCACCTCCTCCAGGGCCCCCACCGCCCCCCGGCACTTCTGCATCTTGGAGGCGAAGGCGGCGGCGGCCGGGGGGCTGGGGTCCTCGCCGGTCACGGCCAGGAACTCGGGCCCGCCG